TATTTATTCGAAAGCACTAATCAGATTGAGGAAACTATTAACCATCCCCATGAGTTTAAGACAAAAGTTATTCATTAATTTTTCGTCAACAGTGATACAACAGAATTACTTACATTCAGACTGATTTTCTTTAGAGTAAGAATCAATAGAAAATATCCCAATGACGTAGTGTGAAAATATGACCCCTATCCTTATTAAACAACTAATAAGTAAAATATGACAACTTAGTTAATTCGATAAGCATCTACAACTAAAACATGATGTGTATCGTAGTATCAAATTATTCACCCTAAATGGTTTGATTTTTGGTCATTATTCAATAAATTTAGATATACACTTAATACTGAAACAATAAAATGACTTGACTCGATTTGAAATGGTTTGGATAGTGCGATGGCGTCTGAAGTGTATTGTACTGGGTCCCAGTCACATAGCCACATAGCATCTATTCTGTCTCAATATAATGATTGCTTATAACATCAATGAGTTCACAGGAATCCAGGCGAATCGATTTTAAGCTAATTGTGGATAATTGTTGTAAACAGTACTCAGAGAAGAATTATAGTTACGACCAAGAGGAAAACTTTGAACTAGGGTTTTGCTCTAATTGTCACTTTTCGGCAAGATCTATCTGTAATTTTGAAGGAATCGATACCTTCCAGTGTGAATAAACTGGTGTCACCCAATGTCATGGTTCTCATCAATATTTAGCGCTAACATTGCTAAATATATGAAACCTAAATGTACTTCACTCAATACAATGAATAAAAGTGATAGAAGTTTGCTAACTTCTAATATTTTATAAACTCTATCTCATACATATATTTTTATTTTGTCGTCTCAAACTATATACTCAATATTTGGTTTTTCTCTTATCATTGCTTGTACAATTAATTCAACTAGTTCCCTGTTCATCTTGATGATTTCTCGTCGTTTCTGTGTAACATAGCAACCTAAGTTAACTCACATTTGCGTCAAGCTCCTATGTTGTTCATAACTGATTGGCTCAACTCTTCGACATTTTTCATTTTCATTTTTCTAATAAACAAGTAAATAGAAGTTTCTGCCATAATGATTTTTTCACTACACAACAATTATTTGAACACTCCAATAAATAAGAATATGATTTTGGAGGTGGAGGTAATGGAAGTGTTCAATATTCAAAAAAAGTTTTAATTTTGAAACTGTTTCGCTTCACTGCATGTTAAAAGTTGTATAAGTATAATTTTTATGTTTCTATAGTTCCACATTATTCAATTCATACCTGATTTAATTTCAGTACACTAATTGTGATTAATTATCAAAATTCAAATATTGGTAATAAAATTAATGGTTAGTTCTGATTGTTGGTATTAATATTATGTTTAGTTTCTCTGGACAAATGATTAAAATATTACAGTTCTTTACACTTATTAGTTTATTAAAAATGCAATGACAATCTCAGATGGGTTTGTGGATATTATAGTAATTTCAAAGGTTAAAATCATGAGTCATTTGAAGCTAGATCACCATGGAAAACCTGGAAGCACTGGACGACCGTTTTGTCCTATTGTGTGACTTCCCAGCAGTACACATCCACGACCTCGCCCCCCGCAAGATTCGAACCCAAGACCTACTAGCTTTGCTCTCGAGCACTTAACCACTAGACCACTGAGCCGGCATCCAACGGTGTTAATGTATGACTTCAACTAATTCACGAAATTGAGTGACAATCGTTGTATGAAACATTTTCAAAATTAGATTATTATTCAATGATAATTGTGTACTGACGGAAGTTTCAATATTTTTCGTAAGCAAACAGCAAATAGGAAAATAGTTATGACATGATTACCAAATCAATCTGAATAACTGTTATTTTTCCACCGTCTAGTATTATACTTCATTCACGTCTTCCCGAATCAAGACAAGAACTGAAGAAGTATATACATATAAATATATTTCAACATAACCAAAGTAAAAAGATACATCAGTAAAAACATTGAAGTTTATTTCAAATTTACATGAGAATCTTCCAACATTTCACTTTGTCCTCTACCATTGATTGGTTGAAAACTGGACCAATCAGCGTACTTCACTGCGGGTTAAACCTTAGCATTCTGTAGTCAAGGCTCTATCTTGTTAAAGGTAAAAGTTATGTTAAAGATAGTAAAAGAAAAATTAATCACGGATCACTTACTAGTTCTGAGCTAAGACGAAACAGCTGGTTTAGTGTTTAGTGTTAGTTCGCGTTGAATATAATACTAAGAGTATATTAAAAATGATAGGATCAAAGTTCACCATTCTGTTCTTCCTCAATTTTTACATAATTATTTATTTATCTTTTATTGACCATTTCATTGATCACACTTTTTTGTTCTGTTTACTTTTTTTCAAACACTTGAATAAAAATAATGATTCCACAATACATTTCTTGGTGAAAACATAACACTCATCTGTATGCTTTAATGATTAAAATATCTCCTCTTGATCATATTTCTACAATTTCTTATTGTATTTGACAATTGAAATGACTAAAATGATCAAATTAATAAATTTGATCACCCAACAGGATCAAATGGATTTTTGTGAAAAAGAATCACTTCCTATTTAACTGACCAATATGAAAATATCATAAGTAATACAAACTACTAATTATATATAGAAATTTCAACTCAAATCATTAGACTATAACTGACTTGTCAGTCAATAAATTAATAACTATGGTTAAAAATTAATACAAATCAAATGAACATTTTATTTCTATCCGGTGATGACAAATATAACATTTCTAACCGGTTCCAAATTCAATTTTTTATTATTTGTGTAAAAAAGTTATTTGACAGATGATATTAGTTATTAATGCCTATCAATAGTGAATTTAACAAGTTTATACAAGTTTCTTATAATAGAATAGACTTGATAATGATACGATCTTGTTGTATATACAAGGTAAAATGTTAGTAAACTAGATGAATACTTTCCATAGTTATATTGAAATGTCTTTTTCTTCTTCTGATTAATGCACAAAACTTCAAATTGATATTAAAACATACGAACCTGGTAAAGATTGATTTTTATAGAAATATTGGCGAGACTCTAATTTGGGGACGAGCCAATCAGAAGCGTTTGAGCAATTTCAAGGTCACGGAGCCAAGTTCAACACGCGATGCTAACATACGATCGGTTCACAGCGGATTTTAGGGAGGAGGTGAATAATGAGAGTTTACAATAGATGGGACGACGAGAATCTAATTTAGGGACGAGCCAATGAAAAGCGTTTGAGCAATTTCAATTATTAGCCAATCAGAAGACAGTAAAAAGCAAAAATATATTACAAGAAAGTAATCAATTACAGTGGATATTCTTCCTTTACATGATTAAAAAACTTGTTAAAATTTGATAAAGGCTTGGAAGTTCTGAATTCATAGTGCATACAGTATTGAAACTCGTCCATAGGGTCAGGTTAGGGTTAGGGTGTTAACAGGTGATCGCTTTACATCGGATTTTAGAGAAGAGGTGTTTATTGAGAGGCTACAAACCTAACCCTAACCTAAACACTAACCCTGACCCTAACCGTAACCCTTACTCTAAACCCTAACGCCAACCTCAAAAATCCGTTATAAATCGACCGTATTTTAGCACCTTAACCCTAACCCTAGGCTACAACCCTAACCCTAACCTTACCTTAACCCTACACCCTAACCCTAACCCTATGGACGAGTTTCTATACCATATGCATTATGAATTCAGAACCTCTGAACCTTTATCACACCTTAACAAGTTTTTAAATCATGTAAAAGAAGAATATCCACTGTAATTCATTACTTACTTTAAATATATTTTCACCTTATACTAACTGTCTTCTGATTGGCTAACAATTGTCAAGGTCATTTAAGATTCGTTCACAGGTCGTCCCTAAATTAGAGTCTCGCCGAAATATTTGTTTTTCACAGTTGAATTATTATTAATTGATTAGGGGGAATTAAAACCAACTATTCTATTTAATCAGAAAGGAGTTTTGTGAATATTATAGTAATTTAATAGTTGAATTCATGAGTTAATTAAATCTAGACCATCATGGAAAACCTGGAAGCACTGGACGACCGTTTCGTCCTAGTACGGGATACCTCAGCAGTGAGCATCTACGATCCGGCTCGAAGGGTTCGAACCCAGGACCTATTGGTTTCACACGCAAACACTTAACCTCTAGGTCACTTAGTTGGCCGAGATCCAACGGTGTTAATGTCTAACTCCAAGCAATCATGATCGATTACTAATACTAATACTACTACATTCATAAGATAAACCATAGAAAAATGGTGAATAAGTATTTTAAAATATAGCTCAATGAATTAAATCTTTTAAAAGTTCTAACTTCCATATATCTTTGATAAGAACTGATCATTTGACTTCAAAAGTGTCACTGTTCTTATTGAATATTTGGAGTTATTTATTTACACTAAATTTTTAAGGTAAAACTACACAAATGTGTCAACCAATATTATAAAATTACTGTTTATGTATACATATTAAATAATTTTTGTTTTTGAATTCTAATCATAACAAAAGGGAATTAACTATTTTTCAAGTTACATAGATGTACCTTACTGAAAGAAAACTTCTATTCGGTAACTCTTTATAAACATACTACAGAGAAATAATTTGCACTACATCGTCATGGTAACTACCTTAGTTATATAAAACATCATTTTTCTATCTAGAAACTTTAAGATCTAATTGTATTTATTACTGTGTTCTTTTTTTTGTAAATAAATTGAAATGAAAACCAATTGATTAAAACATGATTGTCTGAATTGATTTGATAAACCAAACAATTAATTTAATTTTATATTTCGAGTTGATAAAATTGATGTTCCTTTATTATTTTATCGGGTACGCAGTTATATTTCAAAACATATTTGTCAGTTGATAAAAGATTTTAGCATTTACTTAGACAAAATGTTTTTTTTGTCTATATTACTTATTTTTTGTTTATTCATCACTTTAAAAAAAAAATCCAGGTTTGTGCACCTCGTCTTTCATGGTCATCAGCAGCATCTGTTTATTTACCTGGTGGTTGCTTTGAATTTAATGAACGTTTAGAAGAGCCTCAATTAAATCCTGCACCAAGTGCAATTTGTTTAAATGTTAAAGATTCTGATAAATCAATTGATCTGAGATATTGTACATTTGGTGCATCAGTTAATCAACATCCTAATAGGCCAAAACAATTATTTATGGGTGGTCCACATTTTTATTTTGAGAAAGGTAAGTAAAATATTGAATTGATTAATGAAATTTAATATCATTGTGTCTATTAGTTTGTCCTCTACTCAATCGATATTCTGTGTGTACAATAAAATAAAATAAGTTCCTTGTGATAAGAAAGCAAAATCGACACACGGTTATTAGTATTTAACAAAATCTACTCATTCAGTTGATCCCCAAATAGCAATCGAACAGTACTTAATAACAATATACATATTGAATATTTAAAGCTATTATGTATTTGCAGTTAATTCTATCAGAATAGTATATGACTATAAGTAGTTTATTAGTTGAAAAATGAATAAAGTTGAAAATAAAAAAGTCACATAATGAAGAACGAATATTTAATCCTACCTAGTTGTTATGGATAAACACTGTTAATGATTCTTGTGAAAGGTGTTCAGTCCTTCATAGGCTTCAATGGTAACTCAGTTGAGTTCAAATTGTAATGAACATCGTCTATAAAAAATCAGTTTCGCTGAGTTATAGAATTATTATTTTCTCTTCTGTATACTAGTCTTCATTCAGAATGTAATACTATTTAAAGCAGTTTACTTGATTAGTGTGGTAAATAAACATGGTCGTTCACTTTGGATAATCTTTGTTATTAAAAGATCATACTCAATTTTCCATATCCTCTTTGTTACTCCATAAGCTTTTATCCGTCTCTCATTATTCGTTAACAGAAATTTGTGCACTCATTTAAAGCAACGTGCAAAGTAATAATTAATAGTGGAATTCACGTTATTCAGTGCCAGATGTTTGACTACTCTTAAAAATTATCAACATAAAATAAACAATATACATTATCCAACTTGTGAAGATTCCCGAACCTACGTATAAAGACGTTTGCAAGAAGTGGTTCGTTGCTATTCATATTTATCCGTAACGTTTTCTAGCCAGTTTCTCTCCCATGATATCTCTTTCCATCTTAAAGTATATTTGATATCAGAATTCTGTAGAGTATTTTCTACTCGTTTCTTCCAAGGAGAGATAAAAAGAAATACACTAACCACTGTGATGGATCACTTTAAATTCCTCGATTATAAAATTCTCAATAAATTCCAAATATTTCATGAAATCTAAATACACATAGTTAAAATAATGTTAAACTACAAATATGAGCTGAAATTATTTTCTTCAAAGTTCACCTCCATAAAAAATAAGTTTTGGCTAATTATCATTTAGACTAATCAATCTCGATATGATATGATATATTACATTGAAGTAATATAAATAACTAAACTGTTCTACTTTAATCATTTAGAACAGATGTGTAACACGATGCATTAAAGTTGAGAATCTAAATCTATACTTCGGGTATATATAATTTAATAATTCAGTAGTCCATCAGGTTAAGCGTTCGCGCGCGAGACCGAAGGCCCTGGGTTCGAATTCCGCGAGCGGGATTGTGGATGCGCACTGCTGAGGAGTCCCACAATAAGACGAAACGACCGTCCAGTGCTTCCAGATTTTCTATGGTGGTCTAGCTTCAATTAACTCATGATAGAACCAATTGTTTCTAAATTTAAACAGAAAATTGTCATAGTTATTATCATAGTAATACTTTAGTCATATTGTGCTTTTTGGCGTGTATACATGATACTTTTCTTTGTTGCTTAAAATATACAAACCTAACTAATTTGATGCAATCATTTAGTCTAGATGATCTTTTTTTTCTACAACATTATTTTGTTGTTTATGTTTTTTCTGTATTAAATACTACTTCTCCACATCTTTTTCTTTCTCTCCCTCACTTGTTTACTGAATAATATTAGTAATGATAAAAAATTATCTACTTTTTTTCTTGCGTCAGTATTACATTATTTCCCTGTAAATCTATATATCCGTCATATTTCTTCTATATTTGTCATGTTACATATTCTTGCCTAAGATCACTTACTACCAAAATATATATGCATATATAATTGTACCATGTAATAAGAAGTCTTTCATTGAACAGAATAAAATTTTCTTACAATTAGTACTTTTCTGTCCCTGGTTATCATTCTTGATTCTTATTCCTCTTACTATAAGTATTTGATTTCAATACTATTAGGTTTGAGTTCTATTTTAGCAATATCTTGAATACACAGAATAATAAAACTATTTCGTCACCATACTCTCGTGAGCATATATTTTTTTAAAAATGTTTTTGACGTCATACTTTAAAAATTGTATGTGTGCTAAATGTAAAGTTACTTCTGTATTGAGTGATAAATTACAGTAAAATAAAGTATGTTAGATAAGTGCTTTATATCAACATTTATTCAATAGCAACTATACTAGCTTTTAAACAAACATGACGTGAAATAAATAATTACTTTATACACCAATGGAAACTGAATTTTATTATCTGACTACTCAGTTAAAGTATAAAATAAAAACTTGAAAGCCATTAATCGTCATATCATTGTTCGTTGTTTTTCTTTCAAATTGTAAACGGTATGTAGGCTAATAAAAATCATGAAACAGAGAGTACGATCAATAACCACATGTTTATTTTCTCGTAAATTTAAACACTTATGAAAACATTCCTCTTAAAGCTCGGTACTTTTTGGTATTATTGATGTCAATGTTTCCTTTATAAATTTGAATGTAACGTTTTTTTGGACAGAAATCTTTTTAACATATAGTTGAAAATGTCTTGTGTATATTTTCAATATGCCTAAAATGTACGTGTATTTTTAATTACAGGCGTTGGGGCTTCAGTGAATACAAACACCTTTGAGCGAGTAATAACTTCAATTGAAGATATTCCTTCAAATACACTTCTTGGTAAGATATGAATTGTAATATACCTACTTACTTAATTACGCCTGTTACTTCCAGTGGAGCATAGGTTGCCAACCAGCATTCTCCAATCCACTTGAATTATATGTATTGATAAATTTATATTCAGTATTAACGATGGCATATTATAAACTTCACATGAAAAATAAAGAAGATTCTATACTTAATTTGTCTACCATTCTTTATACAGTGAATAATATTAAGTATCGAAGAAAGGATTCTTTAATTTAAAATTGTGTTTTTATTCACCATTTTCAGTTGTGACCAACTCTCTTCCAAATGTACCAGGTTCAACCATTTGGTTTTTTTTATTTCATAGAAGTGTATTACCAAGTACACTTTCATTTTGATCGATTATGTAAGCGTAATTCTAGAGCAGTAAGTGGCTGAATCAGTGTTGTTGATCAAAACATCACGGATCCAAGCACCACTCCACCTACTTCGCTTTAGCCGCCCAAGTACCAACATTAAATTTTACACAGTGTAATTCATAAAGAGAGATCAGGTTATGTAGCTATTTTTATTACATGTTAGTTCTTTTTTTAAAAGATAACCTCATTCACATTTTTCTAATCCATAATTTCTAAGTAAATAAATTATTTTCACAATGAATTTTGATTTCACGCTACGTTAAAGAATTGAACGAACCAGTTGACTAAGAATCAATATTTATGAATAGGTCTATCTATTTGATGACGAGCTAAAAACTATTACATGAATAATTTCCAAATAATTTTAAAGCTATTGGTTGTGTGTACATTCTACATAATTGGATAGTCGAATTATTTTTCATCTTAATAAAATTTTCATTATAGATTGTTACCTATGTTATAGAAGTGTCAAAAACCTAGGAGACATAACAAATATAAGAATATTAAGCGTATTGTATATTTAAGACACAAATCATTATTGATGTACCTGGATAAATTCACTCCATATAAACAGACCTTAAAATAAGTAAATTTGCTATTTACTGATGAAATTTACAGAAGTACATCATATATATTCTATTCTGTCGAGTCAATCAATTGGCCTTATCAAATGGAAACATTCCGTTGACAGATTTCATGTATATTGTCATTTGTTTAACAACTTCCCCTTGAAACCTGTGCAAAATACTTTATCTAAAATAATTAATTTTTAATCAATCTGCAGTTGTATGTGCAGTTTTTGAAAGAATCGAAAGTTAACAGGCTTTCTGTTTAACTACGTTATTTATGATAAATAGGTTCTATTGTAATGTGTGCTACTTATATCGACATCAGTAGTATATGATGTTAGTCAGGAACAGAATGTCTGACAGCAGAGTGACAAGAGGATCGAACAGTAAAGAATGAAAACAGAATGCAATTTGTATAAAAATGCAAGAACAATGAAGTCTGTGTCATTATGAGACAATCGATGGACATTTTGGAAATTAAGCAATTACTTTATGATTGTTAGATTTTATTAAAAAGTTCTGTAATTTTGTGTCAAATACATTCGATTGTCCCCACCCGTGTTCTGTTCACTACACTATATGATAATAATTACAATACTAGTAGGTGATACATCTTGTCTATCACGTTTTTGTTTTCATTGATCACTACATCTAATGAATAAATAACCAATCTAGAAAACTATACCATTCTTAAACTTACAACCTTCGATTATTATCATCAATGACAAATAGTAAACAATTTCATGTAATTTACAATGATCTCATATTTATATTTTAATTTTCATAAGAGTACTATATAAACACTTTTTTCTATTTCATATTGCACACTATAAAATTTGATGATTTCCAACTGTACAGAAAATTTTCAACTATGATGAACCATTACTTGTTTAATAATTATTAGTTATCAATGATTGTTGAGTTGATCTATCAATTCATGATGAAATTTATAAGTAAAATTGTATAACTAGGTTATCGAAAAGTATTTTGTTTCATATACATATGTATATATAGTATATATGGTATGTGTTTATTGTTTATGCACTTTGAATTGTTTGTCTTTGAAAAATATTCAAATAATCTGTTTATTGTTTAATGTTCAACTTTTATGAAATAAGAAATTTAGTATATTTGTTTAACTTATATCTATCAGTATAGTAGATTATATTTGAAATCATCAAACGTGTTAGGTATTTACATTGAGAGTCTGACTATTTCACATATATGTTTATAGGTCTAATTATTTTATATGATTTTTATGAATATTGTTTACTTCTTTTACTTTTAGTTAATTCAATGAATCATCATTTACTAATATTTAAGATTGAAATGACCCATAGATACATTAAGCATTTATTTTTTTTTCTATTTATACGCAGTACATGTCAAATTTACTTAATAAATAAGTAAATAAACGAGATAGTATTAAGTGTTAATAAAGTGTTTATAATCGGTCTTTTGTATATGTCATCTTCTATGATTGTTAATGTTTGTATGCTGATAATCCTACACAAGTTAATAAAAAGGATTTTGTATTTTTTTTTATCAGTAGGAACAATTCTGAAAACCAATGCTTATTACCCATTGGTTATTCATAAATATCTTGTTAAAAGACAAAATACTATTATTATTATTATTATCAGAATGTGTTTTGTGGAGATTTTTAGAAATTTGCACAGATCGAAATCATGAGTCAGTTGAAGCTAGACCACCATTGAAAACCTGGAAGCACTGGACGGCCGTTTCGTCCTAGTATGGGACTCCTCAGCAGTGCTCATCCACGACCCCGCACTACTCGGGGCTCGAACCCAGGACCTACTGGCTTCGCGCGCGAGCACTTAACCATTAGATCACTGAGCCGGCATCCAACGGTGTTAATGTCTAGCTTCAACAAATCCACGAGGTTGCGCTACCATACATCATTGTCTTCAGTGAGTTCCTATCTCACAACAGACCTGGTTGAACTCCACTGGTAACGACTTCTCACTAGAACTCCAGAAGTGTCTCCTGAAGTTATTATTACTATTATTATTATTAGAGAGCTTAAAATTTGTATTGTTCTGTTTGTAATGGGCAGTCTGTTGTCACACGAATTAGCATTAGATTCCAGAAGATTAAACTTGCGCTGCATCGATGAGTATCAACTACCATGAAATATCAACCCAGTGCTTCTTCTTCATCACTTCTAATCATCTTAATATTTCGTTGTGTTTTCTATCACTGATTATTATTCTTGAACTAAAAATGAAATGTAATACATTTAAAAATAAATTATATGTAAATTGTCCTACTTCCCTTTCGCAAGTTTAGAGGAGGTTAGTCTATTTCAGGTTGTATACATCACAGAATGATTGGCTTTCTGCCACCATTGAAAATCAAGGAGCATTAACTAGCTGTTTCTATTTAATGTGGGACTCACCATCAGTACACATCCATGACTTTACAAGGTTTCGAACTTAGAATTTTCAGGTTTTACAACGAACGCTGAACTATCAGAACTACTAGGTTGGTATTCAGTGGTATAATTTCAATTTGAATAATTTCCGTAATAGCTCGACGAATATTCGATCCCATTGATGACAATTGTTTCGGTAAAATTCAAGCTTTAAATAAATTTCAAACTTTTAGGCTATTTAACTGAGACTACTTTCTCCCTGCTTCACTAACCATTCCCAGACAACGTAAATATTTACACAAATGAATGTCACTTGTAACTGACTGTTTCCTTTCTTATAGACAATTAATTGAATAGTTTAAAATGAATATTCATTTTGTGTTATAGAACAATGATCTTAAAACTATATACGTTTTTTCAAGGATCAAGAGTTTGAATTATTAATTACTAAACAAAAGAATATTCAAATCAATCATCAGCAAATGATTGTAAGTTTTCTTTCGGAACACATTCTGACATGAACTAACTAATAATAATAAAGTGAATACTTCCATTTCTTCAAAACATCTTAACTACATAAATTAAACAAATATCATTATTGTAAAAATAATTGAAAATTGAATTTGAAGTGAAACACTGGAAATTATTTGGTTCACTAACCTTTCCATCTTTCTATTCTAAGAAGATGACAGATGATCGATTATTGAATTTAACTAGTACCTTAAAAATTGTTTTTTTAAACTTCATAAGTGGCAATATATTCAACTCATATTCTAAAATTACTCAGTTTATTCGTTTTTTTTTTCTTTTTTACTAGTTGAGATCATGGATCATTTGAAGCTAGACCGCCACGAAAAACCTGGAAGCAATGGACGGTCGTTTCGACCTATTGTTAGAATACTCAGCAGTTCACATCCACCATCCCGCCCCGCGGGATTCGGACCCAGGATCAATTGATCTCGCGCACGAACGTTTAACCTAGCTTCAATTGGCTTATGATCTCAACTATCAAATAACTATAATATTCACAAAACCGCTTTCTAATGTTTTTTTGTTTGCATTTATTTTTTTTTAATAACTATGAATACTAATTTTAATAAAATGACATTTATTTTCACTTGTCACTGAATTAACTAGGTTAAGTAGTTTCTTCTATTTTAATGAATTTATTAATTTAAAGTACTCATTTTTGTATACTAGAAGTGTATCTACAAAATATACATAATGTTGTAATATGCCTAGCTTTTAGAAACTTATTCTCTGATAGATACTTTTGTTTACGGATACATTTCTACATTCTCAATGATTATAATGTAACTGTTGTTTTTATCTTAAATAAATATTGACATAAATTTGAATACAGCTTAATAATATCAACACTTTACTTCACCTTCCATCTAAAGGTTCATCTCTTGACACTACCGATCGATTGTATGCACCATTACCGGGATTAAAATCACATGAACTGTATGTGGCTTATGGTGGTCCAGGTGTACCAAGTAGTGCTGTAAATAGTTTCACTGATAAAACAAAATTTGGCACTGGAATCGTATTAATATTTCAAAGTAATAAACAAAATGGTAGAAATAATATCAAACCATTAATGAAAATAGAAGGACAAAGTTTTGGCAGTCGATTCGGTCATTCACTTATATTTCTCGATATTAATGGAGATGGGTAAGTAGATTTCATAAGAATTATATAAATATTATTATTTGTCAATTAACTAATTATTTATGCAGTAGAATTTCCATTACGAACTCGAGTTAATCAGAAAACCATCATGAATTGAAGAATACTAACCAATTGTTTTATCATTGTTCAAGATTGCACTTAATTACAAAACGACAACCTAACATAGCTTGAAATCCAAAAATACTTTCAGCTTTAGTCAGTTCTCTATATAGGTGTGGATAAGTATCACACTCCTGGAATCGCTTTCTCTATAAGTCACTGATAAATCGATCTACAAGCTTTTTATAAATAAATATTTAGTTATAATAAGCAAAAAATCATTTGTGAAAATTTGATGACCTTAATCATAGCTTTTTTACTGAATCGGTATCACCTAAAAAAACAATCTGTAATCAAATAAAACCAGTTTTAACTTAAGTTGTAAGGGCTTAGAAGAAGGTACATTCAAGTGACGAGTTTAAATTGGAATTCCTCTGTTAACTCTACATTCCATTTATTCTTTATCAATCGATTGTGTTTTGGAATATGCTGGAAACTTGAAATATTGCCAGCATAATATTATATTCTAAAAACACAATTACATCGATATATCAGTGCTTTTTTGTTTGAATTTGATAATCTATCTACTATCAATTACTAGCTATTATGATGATACCTTGTTCTTTTTTTGCCGTATTGCGATATATAAAATAACAAGTTGAGGTCAATCAATGTAATTAAACAAAACAATGTAGAATTCAGTGTATGTTAAAAATAAAGTACGTAAGAGTTTTCAAAATATGGTATTTGAAAAATGCACATATTGATAATGTATTTGGACCTAACATATTGAATCTGAATGTATATAAACTTAAAAGTACTTTTGCTATTTATGTTACTTATGTAAATGGCATCTTATTTAAATGAGATTTTTTAATGCTAGATTTGTTGTGACTTACAAAATTAGGTCTATGCACTATGATCACTAACTACATGAAGTTATAAATGACCACTTAACAATATGTATAACTCAGTGTGAATCTGACTCAATTCTGAATACTACAGGAAAGGGGAAAAAGATTTAGAAAGAATAGGTAATACTCTCCTTAAATTAAAATTATTATTAAGTGAACTTTATTTACAACAGAAAACAGATGAATTCTTAAATCACATTTTAAAATGAATAGGTTCGAATTTTACAAGAAGCATCAATTCACTTAAGATTAGAGGAACGGCTAGTTCAAAACCTACTGTCGTAACTACCTATAACCATCTAACATCTAAATATAATGCACCCGAAGTCGAATTACCTAGGCTTGTGGTTACACTACACCTAGATCAACAGAATTCAAACCAGTTTAAATGACTAGACAAATATGACATTCTTCTCTACTCTGAGATCAATCATTTTTAAATATCTCTGTCCTATAGAAGGTTAATCACGGCCTTACTAGCCCACTGATAACTTCTAAGACTGTGAGACATGTTGTTTATTTATTTATTTATTTCAACACATAGATAATGGTACAAAGAGGCACCAAATACATATGCGCCACACAAATCTCATTCGATATGTGTGAGGGCTGTGATACTGCCCGGGTGCCCAAACCGAGACAGGTGGTTTTCTTAGGGTACCACACCCCGAGCCTTCGACCTGAAGGTCTGATCCACAAGGCAGTGGAGCATCGTAAGGAGATGCAGTCCCATGGAAGCCGGTGACCAACGGTTGGTTCATTCGCCATTTGTTCCCGCAGGATACTGGAGCCCATGTGCACCATTGGTTTGGAATCCGGTTAAAGCGCCGGACATTCGCTTTTCGTCCTCTCATTTTCGTAAACAACACCCCCGCCACGAGAAGGCAGTGAGTAGGACTTCCCTGGCAGAGGCTATATACGCGTGGCCGTGTGAGAGTATTTCGAGAGGAAGAGCGGACTCTCCCCACTCTCGGCCGTACCAGGGCATTTGGAGACATGTTGACATGAATTTGAATCCCACAAAGTGTCAGTTGCATCAAGATCCCAAGTACACATTCTTGACAAATGCCAACTAGCACGATACATAAGATCGAAATCTCCTGCCGACTACTTTCAACCACCTAACGTCTAAATAAATAGACCAACGAATGACCATAGCTATGAAAAGTTTCGGTAAGATCTCATAATATATAATTTAATAATCAGAATAAGATCTAGTGATGATTATTTTTGTTATTTTTCAATGAAATAACAAAGAGCAAAGTTACTGTATCACATAATATAAACTTAATACAACTAAAGTGTACATTTACTAGGCAGTTCAGTTTTTCAGATTAGTTGTTTTCAATTTGTAAAATAAATTTAGTTGAAAACACTGGTTACAAAGACAAACGTACTACATTACTATTGGGAATATTAAGTTGTCTTTACTATAACTAATATAAAATAATAATGACTCGATCGAATATTTCATTTAAAAGCCTTTCTCCTAAATGATAATCCAATCAGGTTCTAGTTCTTTTTTACGTCGTTATACTTTTGTCTATATTTTAGCCACTTATATAAATTTCAAAGTATACACGAATTAGAATGATTTCTATTTATTTAAATAAATAGATAAAAGGAAATTAACCTCTAGACCACTGAACTGACATCCAACAGTGCTAATGTCTAACTTCAACCAATCCATGATATTGTGCTACCGTCCATCATTGTTTTCATTGAGAGACGGTTGAACTCCACTGGTCACGGCTTCTCACTATAACTCTAGGAAACTCATCTTGAAGCCAGTCACTAGTGAGCACATGATAAATATCAGTATGGGGTTGTGATGGTCTAATACTTATCCATTCATGATATCAATTGAAACTCAACAATCTCCACAGCCCTATACTGATCAAAGGAAATTAATCAGTATAAAAAAACTACTTTTACAAATTGTTATCAGAAGGGGTTTTGTGGAGATTTTAGAAATTTTCACAGATTTACAAATTGTATTGCAATAGAGTATAAATCCTGCAGTCTCTAGTTTATAATCCCCTATCATAATTTAAGTCTACGAACCGTAGACTATCTGAGATACAAAAAACTAATGCTTACAATGGAACTTTCAAATAATACCCTAAATAGTCGTAAATAAAATATAATCCTATAAAAATTATATCTATCATTTACAAAATGATAGTTGATCATATTGTATTTCGAAATTTTGTTTTAATATACTCTGGATTCATGTAATAATCGAAAAACCATTCTATGTGAAATATATATATATATATATATATATATATATATATATATATATATAATCCGTTTAATGGAAACATAGACTTAAATCCTGTCTTTGAGTTCAATAGCAGTAGATGCATCCATGAATATCTTAAGTTTAAAATACAATAAAGCTCATTGAACTATAAATAAGAAATGCAGTACTCGATATATACAGTATATTTACTGAAGGCATTCATTCTTAAGTTTTTATCAGGCCAGGTGAATCTTATTAAACATAAGGAATGTGAAAGTATGAATTTTTATCAAATGGTCACTTATCATTAAACATCAGAGCATTGAATAACTTACCTCTACTAAAATGATTTAATAATTTCAATTTTAGATATATGTACTTCAAGTTATTAAAACGATTGAACATTTTTCCTATCATTCTATCTCTCTTACTTTCCTGAAAGTGTAGCAGAATTTTATGTACAAAATGATATCAATTTAATTTAAAGGTACATTACATATACTTCTGGATATGTAATATTTATACAACACTTATCAGATTCACTCACTTACTACTATGTCAAATAAATGTGTTAATAAACAGTAAAGAGAAAGATATTTACAGTAGTCACTAAAGTATAGTAAACTCATGATCCATAAAATCTATTGCAGTAGACAGGTGTATTTAGGTATATTTTTTACTACGACTACATTCATAGTGAAATATGAAAACAAAACTAAATGTTAAATTATATTCCGATACAATAATTTAAGTTTATCATACTTTTTGTAAGCCTTTAAAATCTTAAGCTCATTCTGATTCGATCAATGTAATCCCTGAACTAAAACAATAAAGATTTATAGGATAATGTGACATTCAACATTACTTTAAGTTTTGTTGTTGTCAGATTATCGAAAATCAATACTTCAGATTGAATGAATTACCATGAATCAATTGAATGATACATTTATTGATTCAGTATTTACTACATCAAATGATTTAATTGTCATTCATTTATTTATATAATTTCAATCTCTAACTACACTTTAATTACATTAAATGATTCAATAATTTTTGTTTAAATTAAGTGACAATGAGACATTTTTCAAAACAAATTTTGATCTTTTTTTATTCAAATAATTAGTTTAATTTTAAATCATGACATTGATGAAGACATTTGAATTTGAATGTTTTTCGCTCTATATATATATATATATATATATATATATATATATATATATATATATATATATATATATATATATATATATATATATATATATATATATATATATATATATATATGTGTTATTTATTGAATTCATTCAGGGGATTTTGTTAAGTTTACAATTTATTGAGTATAAACAAGAACTAAATTGATAATATTGGGAAAATTAACTTCAGTAAAGCTTCAACCTATTCTCTTGAAAGCTTTCTATGAGTGAATGAGAGCACAAGTGAGGACCATTTTCTTAGTAAATTTGAGAACCTAACAGTAAATACTTCATTGATAAAATATTCATTAATTGTCTCAAAATTCATTGTGTTTGTATTTCCATACCAATTGATTTCTATTCCCTTTCTTTACTCCTTGATCGTTTCGAACTTCTGCTGCCAGACATTCTATTCCTGACTAGCGTAATATACTACTTATGTCGACATAAGTAGCACACACCACACAACATATACATATTAAATGAAATATAGATCAATTTGAAGAACAATCTTAGGTTTTTGTTCTTTACCAGGCATCCATCATGATATGGCATATTTAGGATATTGAAAATAAAATTACAATTAGATTTATTCCTACCGGGGGTCTTCTGGTAGTAACAATAATATTATGCTGTAAAGTGATGTAAGTTACTGTCTATTATATTACTTCACATTTGAAAAATTCCGCCTCCGAATAAGGCTTGATCATTTTATCCGATTAATATTCTTTTCAATTAATACGCGTATGAAATTCGTAAATGTTCCAGCTCACAGACCTTGCAGTATAGCAATGTTATCTTCATTTGTAATCGACTACTTGCCTTGTTTACGTTTTTATTATTCGTAACATCTCTGGCAGTCCTTCAAAATTTACCTCTGTGGCTACCTCATCATTTATCAACCCTTAACTGTTTTGTTTTAGAATCTCATAAATAGATTTCCAGAAATTCCGCTCACCAGAATCTATTCGGATAGTAGATAGGTGATCAGAAGTACAAGTTCCATCAAACATTTGAAGTAAACCAATTCACGTACTGATTGTGCAGATTAAATATACTTCCTACAAAATTTAGTCTAACAAACAGTAGACTATGTTTCCTGTACTAAATAAATCATTAAAAATCCAATAATTTTATCTCTAAATAATAAAGAAGTTTTAGGTTGTTATTTGTTGGATAGTTCACTGACTTGTTTTTTATCACATTTTTATTAGTTGGGATGATCTAATCGTCGGTGCACCTTATCAATATTCCAATACGACTGTCGGTGGACATAGAAGACATGGAGCAGTGTTTATATTTTTAAATAGACAGTCATATTTCCATACACCAGTGGATGAAGTCAGTGGCGTGGAGTTGTTTAGTTATAATTATCCTGAAACTTTTCAAATAATTACACCTCCATCTCATAATTGTGGTAATTCACATATTCCTGGATTTGGAGCGACAGTTACAAAACTTGGTGATATTAATCACGATGGTTTTCAAGGTAATGTTAACGATTAAAAAATGTATCAGTGTCATACAAAATTCTGGTTTTAATTTAACGATCTAAGAATACTTCATTGTAATTAGGAATAGAATCTACTATATATTTATGATCTTTACAGACTGTTATCATTTAACGTATTAGGAGCTTCAGAGCAACTTATTTGTTTAGTGATTATATTCTGTATATGAATTCTTCAAGACTAACGTGGTCCTGAATTTAAACAGAAATCACAAAAGGAGACCAATATCGTTTATTGAATTTTCTCTCATAATATTCAGGTGTATCTTCTTTGTTACATGGTCAGTAATAAGGACTAGGTAAATGATAGCTTACTGGATACGAAAACTCAGCTCTCAATTTATTCAATCTCATGTTTATATTCCACAACACCTACTTTGGTTTGAATAGTCGGTGAATATTACTATCCACCACACAACAAGATTGGTTGTATTTGGTAAATGAGTTGTGTCTCATTACCCTCAAAAATTGAAATTTAAAAACTGAAATACTCTCTTCCAATAAAAAATGAGTAATTTCACAACAGGATTTCTGTACACATTGTCCTTCCTATTTTTAAAGGTTTAAAACATTTAGAAGAAGTTATTATCAAAGAATGAATCCACACTTAAAGCGATAGATTCAATAAGTATTGTTCAGTATTGAAATAACGAGGCCAAAATTTGGGCAGTTTGAGTCTTCGAGAAAATTTTAAGTATTTAAGTTCATTATTATATTTAGGTTGGTGGATGCTTAAAACAGATAGTAAGCAGCTCTGGATATCAAGCCTGGTAGTATTTAGAGTAAAATTTCAACGTAACTAATTTCCGTCCAAAAATCTAAACCGGTGTCATTATAGTGCTCCAGTCGGAAAACTCAATTTTGGTGAAACTCAGGACCAGAGATTCTTATTAACTGACTTCATACGTCTTGCATTGAATAGCTGGATGGTGATATAATTAATCTAGTTGTAAAAGTGTGTAACTACACTTGAGGTCAAATGGCATAACACCAATTATTAGTTAGTCTCTAGTTAGCATTTGTAAACTAAATAAATCCCTACGAACATTTCCCTTCCCTGTCGTTTTACTGCACTATTTCGAATTGCTACTTAATTAAGTAACCTCACCTTTCATCAGTGATTGTGTAGTGAACACAAACACCAATGGGAACAATCGAATGCACGTGACGCAAAATGTCAGGACTTCTTAATAAAATCTAACAAACAAATAGTAAATACGTAATTGGCAAAATGTCCATCAATTGTCTCATAATGACACAGATTTCATTGTTCTTGCATTTTCATACAAATTTCATTGTTTCCATTCTTTACTGTTCGATCCTCTAGTCACTCTGCTGCCAGACATTCTGTTCCTGACTAACATCATATACTACTTATGTCGATATAAGTAGCACACACCACAATTGTAAACGAAAATAAGATAGCACATAACTTTCTTCGGCCTTGAATTATAGTGATTCAATGTCATAATCTTTTTCACTTTAGCTAGATATTTAACAAAAAAGCATGCGTAAAATAACAGTATATAATTGTCAAAAGAGGTAATGAAGACAAATATTGTAGATTGTAGGAAATTGAGTACGTATCCTACTCTGTTATACCCACATATACATATAAGAGACTTTCATCATAAGTGAACTGCAGCAAATCATCTATTATCAAGTTCATTTGCAAACTATAGTTTTATGTTATATACTTTGACCCACACTGTATGAAGGCTAGTTTTACCACTTGACTGCCCAAACTGAATTTCATGAGCCGATATTTGAACATTTGACTCAGTAGTTGAAAATTGAGTCCTAGATAATTAGAAATGATCACTTGGCAATCCCGGACTGGAATTGCTTACTAGTTCCAATTCACCATCAGAAATACCTGCATTCTCGAGGAAACTGATGATATATACCAGGTCTGGACCTACGTTACTCAGTTTGATAATCTGAGAAGTTATCAGTTGAGCTATTCGGGCAGCGCGTGATATCCAGTAGGATCGAGATACCTACATGGATTACAGGTGCACCTTACTAACGAACCCAAACAAGGATAAAACCTACTTCTAGAGTTTTCTGTCGACCGCCCTCAACCGCCTGACATAAAAACATAAAGCACATGATATGTAGTCTGTATTGGCTGTGCTTCGTTGACCAATCACACTCTTAAGCGTTATCATATAATCCTCAACGGTGTTTAAAATCAGAAGGTAAGGCGAATCAGCGAATACAGTTTTATTAGAAGATAACTCATCACAGATCAGTGAGGCGAATGAGTGAGTCAGCGAATCGAGAGTGTAGAGTGTTAAATGTACATATATATACATATATAGGGAAATGAATGGATCATCCAATCAATTAAGTAGCTAATAATAAAGCTAGCAGAATGAATATATGCGTAGGCCGTAAGCAATGTTCAAGCATACATATTTCATATCAGCACAACAATAATAAAGGTACAATAAGTTGTTATAGTATGGATGACTTTGTCCGCTATATAAGTTAACAAAAGCGCTTAACTGAGTTAAATGAGAACAAACTCAATTGCATGTGAATTGCTATAATTCATTCAGAGTTGTGACAACATTGTAGCTTGATTATTATAACTCAATCGGATTTAAGGACTGTACTTGATCCTTGAATTATTGGTCACTTCTCAATGATCATTCAATATGAATCATATCTCCCCTTATTAATTAATAAAAAAACGAAAACTTGTTTGCAACGATCACAAAAATGATTCTACATCTACAGATACTAATAAGAGCGTATCATCATTTCATTTTTGCAAACAATCTTTTCTCTCTAATCTATATGAGTACTTTATCTTCAGTGATTTAAAAGATTACTAAAGCTATGTGTATGTGTATAAGTTTTATATTTCACATGTCTTAGGTTTATTCCGTGGATGATTCTATTTGTACTACCGAGTTGGCATGCATTGGCAGTTTACAGTTCATATATACACTATCCATCCTTTCAGTGCATGTTATAAATATTGAACCAGAAATCGCTCCTACCTTGTTTACTTAAAACAATTGTTTAATTAATAACAGTTAGATTATAACGACGTAACCAAGACTGAAAAAAACCCAGTTGAAACAAAGTATTATATGACTTAAAGATTTTCCATACAAGTTACTGAATACACTTTAAGATAATACCATATATTTATTTTTAAGTGCATATTACTTTAGACCACCAGTAAACTAATCCATAACTTTTTACCATGAGTTCACTTGTATTAATTATTCCTTTCTTTGAAGTATTGTCCTTCACAGTATGTTATATTTTTCAATTTCTTTTTCTTATCTATAAACAGATTTTGTATATATGTGTGTGTATATATTTGTGTATGTGATTATATAATAAAACCCTGTTATATATTTCTCCATATTGTGCTTGAACAATAAAAAAAATAGTTTATAACCTTATTTCAAAAAAATGTTTGTTTATTATTCCATCAATCTTGAAAACAAAGAATAACTTTTTACTTTCTGTATCATGTAGACAATATTTATTACCTTTTTTTTACACTTAATCATAATGAAATTAGACTTTGCTGTCGGTGCTCCTTATGAAGACAACGGTGGTGCAGTCTACATATATCATGGAAGTAAATCTGGAAAACTTCAAAAACCAACACAAGTACGCTGTGTTTATTTTAAGTATTCATTGTTTTTAATATTCTTGAGTGAATTTCAATGGCATAGTTAGTCTATGTGTATGATATACTGACTATTTTAATGTACTCATTAAGAAAAATATTGTTCAGTGGAATCCGGGATGTATGCTTCTTCCAAATTCAGACTCATAAGTTAGATATACGTGCATCATAGTGAAGTGGTTCTGTCAAGACCATCCTCAAACAATACATATATATCAATTAGAATTGGTTAAAATTCAGTCACGAATGTCAACAACGAAATAAATTTAACTGTTTAAATTAAACTCATTGTTTTTGTTATACAGATAAATCAGTAATGAACTTGAAAAAGAATTGTTTAGAAAAGAAACTAGGGTAATATCTTACGTTTTATTCGTCAGTGCCACACTTTTACTTGATATGGAGAACACTTCGTATAGTACTGTAAAACATTCATTACCTTTTGATTGTCTTGGTTTCTAGGAAGATGAGATTCAATTTTAACAAAGGAAATGATAATTACAAAATTATTTTTATTATGGACTGGGACCAACTGCAAATCCAAATAAAATTACCTAGTTCATTAAGATATGAGATTACCTGATAGTGTTCAATCATGTTTTACTAAGTCATAACTGACAAGGTTTAATATATATTGGGTTTGAGGTATTTACCAGCCGAAATTAAGAGCGAGCTGTCACACCATATTAAAGCTGAAAATGTGAAACATTAGATAATGACCCAGTGGTCTAAGTATCAAATACTTATATATGTTGCTTATTTTTAATTTCCTCTGTTAAGAGATCATCATTGTCCAATACAAACATCAGTTTAGATAACGTCAAAGACCGGATATTGTTAAAACAATCGAACTTTATACTAACAAAGTGCTTACAATGAATTTATTTGTATTAACCTATCCATAACATTAAAAATTCTTTCTCTAATCCATAAATTCTGTTTGCCTTTATTGATCAAGACACAACTTACCATTCGAAGACACTTTTATAAGTGAAAATCGTTTATACTGATCAATTGTAGTTGAAATGTTAAATGCATCACATTAATTCTAAAGAGTCAATTTATTATTAATTGTCTACAATCATTCATTAACTAATGATTTGTTGATCTCAACTCTACACTCAAATACAGCACTATCTTGAAGTTTGAGCTGATTTAAAAACCGTAACTTGATGGTTAAATTAGATAAAATATTTTAATATTGATTTTAAACTACATATTTTAATAAAATAAACACAAATAATGAAAGAACAGAGATTTGTTGAACAATAGAAACCCGTATTGACTAAAAATAGTTGAAACTAAATGAAAATCAAAAGAATAATGATAACTAACTGGTACCATTAATAGTAGCCAAATATTTTAATATTCGTATTGAATATCAAATGAATATTTCAACACAAATGACTTTTTTTTATTATATCACTGATTTTCGTAATACTTCAACACTAAGATGTGCTTGTGCGTGTGTGTTCGAATGTGCGTAGAAATGCTTACAAATTGACAGCATAACTAAACCGTGGTAACTATGACCCATATTCATTTATCTTTTGAGATTTAAAGTATAATAGACCATTAAAAATGCTATTATTTGATCAACAGAATAGTTTTAAATTCCATTTTGACGATTAATATATATGTATTTGAGAATACTTGAAGATAATTTCGATCATAGAACAATTACACAAGCTTATAAATCATCAAAATGTAAGAAGCGCTAAATATGTGTATTTTATCCATAGTTCAACATACTCTTAGAGTTTATACTAACTATTTTACACAGGGTCATACTTGTAAATGAATAATCCTGTGGTGATCACTACTGGCTAAACAGTGTTAAGTTTACTAAGAGATCTGTAAACATTAGGTTTGTTATCTCTCCCGTCTTATGATTTCCCTCTGTTGATATTACTCAAACTCATATAACTCAACTGTGTAATTTTTGTTTGACTTTTTAATGCTTTAAGTAATTGATGAAAATTCAAAAAAAGTTTTCATGGTAGATGTTTTTAAAAAACGTTTCATTGAAAAACTATCGATATTCTTTGAGTAAAGAAGCTACTCTGAAAAATCAAATATTTAGATTTTCGTCAATAATTTCATGCTTTCTCTTTCAATCATTTTCCGACAATACTTATAATCTGCCAATTAATTCCATCTACTTGGTGAGAAATGATGCACCTTGAAATAAACTACCAGCTTGTATTATCAATATTATTTTGACAGAAGTCACTAAACTATCTGTTGTCGCAATTGATTGATCATTTGGTGGTGATCAATGTCATGCTTGTCTAGTCCTTATTAATGCAGATCGAATGCTATCGATCATGTTGCAATGTGGTCACCAGTCTTGCAACATTGATTACTTAATTATAGACCCTAGTTGTAGGAAACAATAACCTGTTGCATCTTTGCGAATAAAGTTTTCCGCTTTATTTCTACCAGTTGGTTAGAGTAACCTATTTTTTTTCGATTAAACTGTAAATTTCTACCCTATTCCATTTAAATCAGTTTAGGCAACCGAGTATTATTATTATTAGGTTTCATACCTAAGATGTGACTCAAAATAACAAATATGTATAGGTTATCTGTTACTGATTGTGTAACATTTCACCTTTATGTTTGTTTGTTTGTTTGTTTGTTTAACTTTACGGTTAACATTTCAGCAACATCCATTAAAACTCTTTTAAATTAGGTGTTAAAACATTGTTTTCTAATAAATTATTATAGTTCTCCAATATATTTGTTAGAATAAAAATAGCTATTTTTTTAGAAATCCATCATTTTTAAATTTGTACATCTTCATAACAAATTCTACGTTGTAATAAGTAATACGCACTGTCATCCCTACTTCTTCATCATGTTTACGTGATGTTTACTTGATGGTTTAAATTGATGTTATCCAAACCCCAATTGGATGAAAATTTGATATTTAGACATAGAGACACAGATATGTATAAATACACATGCACAGACAATGATGTGTCATAATAGAGATTATGTAACAAACATTGGTCAATGTATCTTTTCTTATTAATATGTTTACTATTTATTTAACTGCTAAATGAAAATCTCGGTAAGATAATATCCTGCAATTAAAATTGGATATTCAATCTAATATATATAATTGGGTTAGTGATTTCTAATCTCCGTATCAATCGTAATATTGTGTGTTTGTTTTGCATAAATACATTCACAAAAATACGTTATTTCAGTGATCATACTTTTTGTTTAAATTGCTCGTTAAACTTACTCAGTCTTAAGCCACATTCTATGAGAACTTGTGGCTGAGGTAAAACAGAGTGATAAAACAATGAGCTTTCAAAAAGCAGTACAAAAGCTACGAAACTTAGATCAAATGCCACAGATTGATTGAGGTTAGACATTAACACCGTTGAATGCCGGATCCGGGCCAAAAGGTCTGTGTTCGAGTCCTTCATGAAGAACCGTGAGTGTCTATTGATAGAACGTACTATACTGGAATGAAACGGCCATCCAATGCTTTTGGATTTTCATTAGGGGTCCAAAGTTGATCGAATAATGATTTCCATCAAATGAGTCCTTCACTAGCGTATGTAACTTTTCCATTATCAATGCAAATGTTAAAATTTGCTTGGGAAGGCCGTATCACGTATTTATAGTGAAAAAAATTGTACAATGATTTACTTCGGAATGTAGATGTGTGGTACAAAGACACAGACTATCGTATTGTTTATTATTGAACACTATAACTGTTATCATAATCCTTAGGACAATAATAATAAACTTTTCCCAAACTTTTCTTCTTAAACTTTAAAAACACACCTTGCAAACTCCTGACAAGTGTTATATTATCATTTACTTCATTCACATCTATCTTCTTATATATCTTCCAGTAGAACTCCGACACATTAGAATCCATACACTCTGTAATACCTCATCTAGCAAGTATACTATGTGACGAACAGGTTGTAGGAGCTGACCTAGTCAATAACCTCTATTCTTAAAGATGTTGCTAATTAAAAGGTATACGGATTCTAATCTTATTATAAAACATTCCATTTAATTCCAGGTAGTTTATTTGCTAACTCTATGTGTATATTTTAGTTCAGCTCATGAACCAATCAACTTTAGACCACAGCTAGAAACCTGGAAGCACTGGACGGCCGTTTCATCCTGGTGTGAGATGCCTCAACGGTGCGTATCCACGATCTTTCACGCAGGATTCGAACCAAGGACCTTCAGTCTCGTTTGAGAACGCAAAGTAGTCTCATACCAAGACGAAATGGCCGACCAGTGCTTCCAGGTTTTCAATGGTGGTTTAATAATGATCGGTTCATGATCTCAGTTAAAATTCAACAATCTCCACAACCGTATACTGATAATTATGTGCATAGGTATGCAGTTATCGATCTTGTTTTTCTTTTTTTTTGTTCAAAACTTGTTGAAATACTTTATGCTGAGAATTCTATATTGCAGTAAACACGTCACATTAAATAAAGTCATTAATAGTAATGATAATGATAAATGAAATTGGCAGTTTCAAAGACTTTCCATAACAACTTTATTCGGCTATATGATATGATAATATTTTATAAATTGATGTAAATCACCAAATTTCAAATACTCTACACTTAAAAAAAGAAGAAAAAAAACAACTCATACTTATTTGTTAGCAAAATTTTACAAATTTGTTTTACACACTTACATAGGTAAAATAAAAATTCCCATTGTCACCATAACAACATGAATATATATATGATATTATATACAGAGAAAGCTGCGGTAAATATAAATATATATGTAGTATTATATACAAAGAAAGCACCGATCACGTGGTAATATTGCTTGAAAATATTGAAGTGCCTATAAAATGATTAAAGAGAATAGGATCACTATATTAATCAAAGTTATTATTTGTAAACGAATTGAAAAATATAGTTTTAATAGTTGATAGATTGTAATAATAATGTCTTTTAAGTGAATTAGTTCGATATTTTTG